CTTGATGAGTGGCATGTAGGTCTGCATCAGGATCCGAACCCGCAAACCCCAGGCCACTGATGCCCCGTGTGTGAACTTAACCACTATTCCTCTGGCCAGGCCCCTAAACAGCTGCATTTTAATCCCTGACCTTGTTAGGTCTCACAAGGGAAGAAGTCATTCACAGAATCTTGGAATGACTAAGAAATAAGCCAAAATGAGTGACAGCTCCTTTTCTAAGTTCTGAAGCACAGAAACCAGTAAGAGTCTTTCAGTTTATTCTACATAAAATTAAATTTTGATGATAATGGAAAAATTCAACCATATCTTTATGCTTTCAGAAGCTCTGATATTTAAAATCATGCGGATTTTCTTCATTCCTGGTTTCATTTAGGTTTTTTGGGTGCATTTTGCAAACACTGAGATTATATTTATATGAATGCAATAAGCTTAGTGATGGATCCTGGATTCTCTTATTGAGAATTTAAACTTAAATGCAGTTGTCCTGATCTTTTTTGCTTCCTCAAATTTTATCCTCACCATGAAATTTAATATTTTCCATCATGTATATTTTATTTTTTTGAAATAACATCATGGTTTAATTTAATAAAAGATGAGTTTTAAAGGTGACAATTGGCTATTTGTTTTTAGTATATTTCCAAGTTTATACATATTTGGTTAACAAATATTATTAAGAATGCTTTTCGAAATGAGAAATACACACACTATTTACTAAAGAGAAGATTTTACATAATCTTCTGAGATTTTACGTAATCACTATTTTTTTCTTGTTATATACACATGAAGCTGTCAGTGCTCTAAGCTGCCCAGCCAAATATCACATTTTCTGTGTAAAGGGGAAAAATTGAAAAATTAGATTTGCAAAAGCAAAGCAAATTTGGGAGTTGCTTCATTAACATGGAGATATGATTTGAATTCATTAAGTATCTGCTAATAAGAGAAAGGTACCCTTTATAGAGATTTAGAAGGCTGTTATTTTCACCCATCTACTCCGATAATACAACGCGTGTTCTAAGACAAGTGGGGGTGGTGACCAGGGCCTTCATTTATCTGAAATTAGAAGTGCCCATAATGGGTTGGCAGGGCTGTGGGCAGCATTGTGTGTTTCCCCGTTCTCTCTAATTAGCCATAGAAAAATGTGAAGAATAGCACCCACATTATCCAAAGTCGCTTTAGGATTTGCTACCTTAAAAACTGTTTTCCTTTTCTTATGTTCGATATGTATAATTATGCTTTCAGAAAGCCCTCTGCTTTGGAATTCTCTCCTTGCTGACCTGCCACCCAGTTGCAAGTCATATTCAGCAGCCACCACTTATTTACTGAAGGTTCTTTGTTGGGAAAAGTTTTTTAAATTAATTAATAGACTATATCAGATAGATTTTTTCATCTCAAGTGTATATCCCCTTCTTTGCAAATCACCTACCCCATAAATGAACTTTCCTCTGGTTCCTGGTTGTTTCTCTTACATCATCTCTTACGACTTTCTTTTGGGCTCCCACCTCCCCTGTCCAGCCACATTTGACCTCTCAGTTCCTCACGGCACCCACTTCTTCTCATCTTAGGGATTTTACACTTTCAGTTCCTTCTTCCCGGGACACTCTTTTCCTGCTCTTCATCAGTCAGTTCTCAGCCTAAATGTCAATTCCGAAGATACCCCACCCCCATTCAGTATTGCTCTACCCTATCTATTTCCTGTGTATCAATTACCTTGTTTTATTCTTCGTGCTATTTTCCATGATTCAGAATTGTCTATTTGTTAACTTGTCTGTTATCAGGTCCCCAACAAGAATGTGAGCCCCACAGAGCCAGAGGCCTCATCTGTTTTGTTCACCCCTCCATCTCTCTAGCTACCAAACGGTGCCCAGCACATGGGTACTTGATATGTTATTTTTGGAACAAATAATTAGAGAGATTGAGAGAGAGAGAGATGATAGATATCCTCACTCAAAAACTAATCTATGGAGATAGAAGTTAGAATATTGATTACCTCGGGGGTATATTAACCAGAAAGGGGCCGAAGGGAGCATTGCAGAATGTTAAAAATATTCTCCATCTTGATCAGAGTAATGGTTACACAAACATGCATATATATGCAAAAATTAATCTAGCTGTATACTTACAATTTGTTTGAGTACCTAAATTTTAACAATACTGTGTGTCAATCCATCAGGGGCTGGTCTAGCTGTGTGACATTTGGTAAGCTTTGTACCACTGGTGGTTGGGTCAGGCATCTCAAACGCCCAGCACAAAATGATTGTTGGAAAATAATCATTGCCTTAAAGGACAAAGCTAAGATCAACAACAGAACAGTTGTCTTCTCAAAGCCACATATTATTCTTTTAAAGTGGCTCTGCTTTAACTATGACCTTAGCCAAGTCATCAGGAGTCTCATACTTTTCAGTAGTCGTGTCATGACTTGTGCACAGAACCCAGAAAAGAGAAGAAGGCAGGAGAAAACATGAAATTTTTACTAGGAGTAAAAAACTCAGAGAATTTATTCACCACAATACATGGCACAGTCTCTCCTGGTTGAGGATTCCACAGTCTAGATCAGGAGAAATGATCATGAAACAATGATAGGTAAAATCAGAGGGCAGTGGGGGGACCGAGAAGAATGGCAGTTTGGTAGAACAGAAGGTTTCGACATACTCGTCTATATGTGCAAGAATGTCAATGGAAAATGACATACTGGAGAAGGAGTTCCTTTATGAAAATCTCTTTTAAGAAGATGTAATACAAATAATTAACTTTCGAATACTCTTATACTCTATGAAAATCAATGAGGATGGTCTCATCTGGATAAGCGGACTTTCGAATCATTGAATCTTAACCCTCTTGAGTACAAACTATTTTCAAAATGATTCTTTCTCTTGTGGAAATCTTTCTAAACAGATCATGGAAAAGTTTCCTCTCCTCCTTGTACAGAATGTATTGCCGCAACAAAGTCCCCTCTCTGTGGTTTGGGTTCATGAAGCACATTGATGGTTCCACGGTACTGTCTCAGAAGTTCCTGTGTTGTTATCCCGGTGACAGCCAGGTGAACCCTCCCAGCTGCACATCTACACAATTTCGGTATGCTCCTTCCTTGCCGAGAGCACTCGCCTCTGGGTCTGAGACAACATCCTCTACCAGCACGTCCTCTCTTTGATGCGACTTGCTACCTTATTTTACATAAAATTTCTAGTCAAGGACCTAAATCACTGTGCAAGACAACTATCTCACTTGGTTTTTTTTCCTCTTCTAACTCAAGGCTCAAAGCTACGTAAAAAAGGGTCAAATCTATCAGTGGTCTGACCAACAGCTAGATTGGGAATGGGTCAAGTCACTATTCTCAGAAATCCTAAAAGTTTAAGGACTTAGGTACCAGTAAAAGACTTTATTGGCTAAATTCAAGGGAAACACATTTTCCCCCTTAAGTGTTTTAAGGGTGATAACGAGAAACAGCTCTTCTCGTTTCTGAGCACATAGTGTATCTAATTTATATGGCATAGGTTTGACCAAAAATCTCTGTCCCTTCATCCTTACCCATTATTTATCCACCTTCTCATATACATCCATTTCTTTAAAACTGAAAATGGATATTTTGCCCTAACAAACCACTACAAGAGCTTGGGAGCAACCTCCTTGATAAGGTCTCTCCCCTGTTTTTCTTTTTTCTGCTCCTCTCTCTTTCTATTCCCCTTTTTTTCCTGATCCTGCTGGTTGGTCAGAAGTTCAAATTTCAGAATCTACAACTATAAGGAAACTCCCTTGTTGTTTGGATGAGGAAGTGGGGCCCCGAGAGAGGAGGCAAGTCTCCCACTATCTCAAGGTCAGAGCTAGGACCTGTACTCTGTGCTGAGAGAGCTCCCATCTTGCTCCTGCCTGAGAAGCCTGGAGCATCATGATGCCCTCTCCACAGGCCCTGAGCAGAGGCATCCTCAGCAGGTGCCAAAGATGTAGCTTCTGCCTTGCCCCTCTCTTCATCTTCCCACACCCTTTCCCCTTCAATCTGTGTCCTATTCCTAGACCTCTGGGGTACCCCATAGCAGTCCTGCCCAAGCTTGACCTCTCTGTCTCAGCCCCCTCTAACCGCCCCCCTCCCATCATCCCCATCTTATGCTTTGTCAAGATAAATCAGTTTGAGTCCTGAGCTAGCTGTCACTCTGGGAAGGTAATCTAATAAATTAATCTCTCATAAGCAGTTAAAGACTTATTAACAGCTTAGCATGTTAAGAGCTCGATACTTATATTTGGCTTGTAATGGAAGATTTCTGTGGATGCAAAGCCTTGCCCCCAGGCAGTGACTGTTAGGCAAGGAATTTCAGCTTTAACCCATTTTTTTTTTTGGCTAGGAAGATTCGCCCTGAGCTAACATCCACTGCCAATCCTCTTTTTTTTCCTTTGAGGAAGATTAGCCCTGAGCTAACATCTGTGTCAATCCTCCTTTATTTTGTTTTATATTTGGGACACCTCCACAGCATGGCTGATGAGTGGAGTAGGTCCGCACCTGGGATCCAAACCCACGAACCCCAGCCCGCCGAAGTGGAGCCTGCACAGAACTTTAACCACTCAGCCATGGGGCTGGGCCCAGTTCAAACCCATTTTGGTTATGGAAGAGAGTAGGATGGGTGAGGGCTAATGCGATGCTCTTAAATTGTTAATGATGTCTGGTAAGCCTACGTTTCCTACATCGAAGGGGGCATCTCAGGCTTCAGTAATCCTGGACAGTCTTATTTCTACTACGGACTGTTTCCTAATCTGCTTTTTGTTCTTTAGTCCCTAAGAAGGTTATCAGTGAGACACAATTGAACTCGTCTTCCTTAGGATAAGGACCTGATGGGGCAGCCCTTGAATGCTCTCTAGAATGTAGGAAGTCAGTTTCACTAGCAGCTTGGACTGCTGTGGACATGGCTACTGCCAAGCTAAACCAGAAAATCATCAAAATGTGTCTGCATCCCGTGCGTCTCCACCAGATTGCCTCTCTCTGGGGCAATTCTCAGAAAGAGGCATTCTCTTACCCACACGGTCCTAATTCTGTGCTCCACCATGCACTTGCCCCTTCTCCAAGCCTTCCCATCCCCATCAGTTCATTCACGGGGGCGTTTCCTTCGTAAGATATTTGTGCATAGACGAAACCTGGTTAAAACAGAAGCCACAAGATATCTTTGAAGCATAAAAAGGGCCAAGTTGTCATAAGGGATCATGTGAAACCTGAGGAATGTGATAAAGAGGGGAGAAGAGGGTTCTCAGGCAGGGAGCCAGCCCCAATTCAATCTGAGGGCAAAGCCTAAAGCAATAGTCCTCAAGCTTTAGTAAGAATGGGAATCATGGTGGTCTCATTCACCAGGAAGTTTCTCAGGCCCTAGTCTCGGGGATTCTGATTTTGTAAGTTTAGGGGGCAGCCCAGACTTTGAAATAAGCATTTCAAAAGATGTTGCTACAGGTGGTCTTTGGAATACACCTAGAGAAACTCTGGCGTGTGGGGGACACGTGGTCGGTTGGATGTCTGTGAGCTCTGCACACACTGTGAAAGCCAGGAGGATGAGCGCTTTACCCTTCAATCCTGGCAGATGTCACCTGAGTCACAGTAAGTATGGCTCCAGCTGATTGATCCTAATTACCGCCCCCGCCCTCCACTCTGCAACCAAAGGAGGTGACAGTGGGATAGAGACTGGTCTGCATTAGAGTGTTTGGCTTGTATCCTATTAACAATTCAACAGACAGGCAGGTTTTCCCTCGAAATTCTTTCCTTCAAATAATTTTTGGAGACCTGAGTATTCTTCACACGACACAGTTCATGAGAGTGCTTAATTTCCTCCATCTACCAATTAAAGCAGATGAGTAGGAAGTGGGAGATGCACAGACAGGCTCTTCCACACCATCACCCTTTCCTTAGACCCAAGGCTCTGTTCCGTTTACTCATCAGAACCCCATAGCAGGTACCCCCTTCAAAGCTGTATTTACAGCAGTATAAATTTATCTGAGGGAATGGCACGCCAGTTAATTCATTTTGCACAGTTTTTCAGAGGGATTTATTACAGTGATTTATATAGAATTTACAGCCATAAGAAATCAGGCATATCATCTTGACCAACTCCCTGATTTTAAAAAGAGAGAAACCAATGCCAAAAACTTAGGGGATAGAGTGGACAAACCTCCCTCCCCCCGTCTTTCCTTTGGGAGCTGCTCTTTCCATGAGGATCACCCCCACTCCCCACTCCAGGTCTAGGTACAACCACTCAGAGAGCCCCGCCACCCCAGCCCAGCAATCGGTTGAGGCGCAAGGATACCACCAAGGCTGCCTGAGCTCGGTGAGAAGAAGGTCTTTGCCCCCTGGAGTTGCTAAACTAGGAAAACAACAGGCAGAGGCTTCCTTTCCTGCTTTGAATGGCCCCCAGTAGGTCAGGCTCCGGAAGGGCAGGCAGGTGTTCATATGCTCTGGAGCCCGCACTGGCCCACATCTGGCAGCGCCAAGAAACACGCTGCAGCATTAGGGGCCAGAGACAGGGAGGCATTTAAAGACAATGGTTCTCTCCAGCAGAGGGGACATCACCTAGTTTGCACATAGTCACAAACATTTTTACTTCTACTTCAACTCAGTTCAGGCTATCTTCTTTAGAGCTTGATGATTTTGAAACAAGGTAATAAGAATGAAGTTTGACTAACGACTGTCTTTAGGGGGTCTCTTTGGTGGTGGGCTAACGCCATCCAAATTGATGTATACTTGCTTTTTTTAAAAAAAATATTTAAACTGCTCAATTACCTGAATATCCTGACGTTCACATTATACCACTTAATGTAGTCTTTTAACGGGGGCATTTAAGATTTCAACTAACATTCATCTTCGTGAAGCAGACGGCTGCCTGCCACCTTCCTTGCTCAGTTTCTGGGAGCCTGGGCAGCTGCTGTTGTGTGTGCCGAAGGGAAATTGGATTCTTAAAGAAACTGCTTAATCTTCTCTATTAAGCAATTAAATAAAATGGGCTCTGGGAGGAGGTAGCAGGTGGGTTTGGAAGTGAAAAAACATTTTGAAAATCACGTTTTGCGTTTTAAATGGATGTTTAAAAACGCAGCGGCATACATTTAGGAGAAAAATGATGATTGGGGGAGTTTTTACTAAGTGTTTCAAGTTAAGTCAAGAAAGGCTGAATATTAAAGATCTTATACAAAGAAAGGAGAAGCCGCTTAAGTGGAAGTAGGCCCTGAATTTAAATGAGAGAAACCTGAAAGGACACAGTGACATATTCCAAATCATTCCGATTTTTCTCCTTTGAAAAAAATATCGATAAGAAAATGTACCGCTGCTTTATTCTGCAGAGCCGCCCTTCCCGGCAGCGTCGCCATCGCACGGGGACTTCAGAAATACACTGATTCTAGGTCGAAATGAAAAACACAACAAGACAAAACCGAAACCAAGCCGCGCTCTTCTCGCGGTCATTAAAGGGGCTGCCCTCCCTTTTAATGGATTCGTTTTTAATGAAAAAGGAAGGGAGTCTGTGATCTGTCTTGACATTCGGTCCCTTTCCGCGAAATCTGAAATTTGAGACGCAAAACAGCCTGCAGTTGTTGGTGAAATAGTTGCTTTAAAAGCAGAACCACAGTTCATGTCTTTGGCCCGGAATTCCAGAGACTCATTTCCACCCCTCCCACGGAGTCACCTGCTCAGGGGGAACCCCGGCCAGAAATCCGGGTCGCGCCAGGTCAAATCTTGCGCGGCTCGTGTTTACTCCGCCCGGGGCAGGGCGGCGGCGCGCCGGGCTGGGGAGGCGGCTGGGGAGGCGGCCGGGGCAGCGGCTCCGCTCGGCACGGCGGCTCGGGCGCCCGGAGGGGCGGCGCGCGGTCCCCGCCGGCGCGCAGACCACCGGAGGAGGCGCCCCGGCCGCCGGCCCGGCCCGGCAGCCGCTCTCCGCGCTCGGGCCGCCGCGGCCTCCTGGGAACCCCCCCCCACCCGCCCCGAGGGCGCACGCGAGTCCACACGTGCAGGGGAGCGGCTCGAGGGAGCCCCGGCGTCCCCCGCGTGTCGCCGGGCCGGGGAGGAAGCCCAGAGCCCCGGCCCCACTCGCCTGGGATTCCCCGGGCCCCTCGCTTCCCGCGCCGGGTAGGGTGTCGCTCGCGTCCCGTCCGAGGAGAGGGCAGCGCGCGGGCTGGAGGCGGCGGCCCGCCCCGGGCCCCGGCACGGCCCACCAGGAAGCCGGCAGCTGCGCCCCGCGCCGCTGCCCACCCCGATTTGAATACCCCGGCGAGGGCGGGCCGCGTTCCCCGAGCTGGGTGCGCCCGCGGCGCCCTGGCGAGCGACCCCAGGGGAGGCAATGGGGGCCTTTCGAGCGCCTGAAAAGTTCGTGCTTCCGCAGGGGCACGGAAAGTGCTAGTAAAACGCTTGGCACAGCTCGAGAAGCGCAGCCAGGAGCTACAGTCTGATTTTGTTTCTGTTGACCGATAACATAACCGTGAGTAGAGCCGAGGGCGAGAGCGAGGAAAGGGATCAGAGGTCCACGGACAGAATCATGACCATCCTAAATATTCGGTAATTCCGTTTGTCATCAACACAGGGAACGGTTATACGGGAAATGGGGAAGATGGGGGGCGGGGAGGAGATTTCACATCCCTGAAGGAAGTTCTCGGGCTCCTAGAGACGCCCAAGTCTTTTTTTTTTTTTTTTTGCATGACAAGTAGAGACCGGCTCTCGGGGGAGTTCCCCGATCCGAGGGAGCGTGACCGCGGCCGCGATCTTCCCGCCCGGAGCGGCCGCGGCGGGGCCCGGCCCTGCCCTCCCGGCCGCCTCCCTCCCCGGCCGCCCGGCGCGCCGCACATCCCTCTCGCGCTCGCCGGCTCCAGACTGGTTTTTCTGGTTCAGCCTCCCTCCTAGGGACGCGCTGGGGGATCCGATGACGTCGCTGGCTGAGTCTCTCCCTCTTCCTCCCTCCCTCCCCCCGCCTCTCCCCGCGCCCGCCCTCGCCGCGCACTCCTCCTAGTAACTTCTGTTCGGGGAGGCGCTGCCAGGAATAACCCGGTGCGTCCACAGCCCGGGAGGGGAGGCGGCCGCTGCGGCTCCCGCACGCACACTGCTGCGGCCCGGGCCTCGCGGCTCCCTCGCGAGCCCGGCGGCCCCTGCCCCGGGCCCATCGCCGTACAGTGTCAGAAAAATAAATAGAGGAAAGAGGAGCCTGGGCAGGCGGTCGGGATCTCTTCCCTCCCTCCGCGCCCGCCCTCCCTCTGTCCTTAAGGAAATGCTACCAGACACCCCCCACCAGACACGCTCAGCCTTGGCGAGGAGCGGCCGCCGCGGCAGCGAGAACAAGGGCACCAGGGGGGTTTCCTCCCCCTCCTCCTCTCCCCACTCTTCCTCCTCCTCCTCCTCCTCCTTCTCAGCGGTGACTTTCCAGGTGAGCGGCCGCCGCTGCTGCGAGGATCCCCCTCGCCCGCTCGGGCTCGGGCCGCCGCGTCGCGCCCTCCTCCCGCCCCTGTCACCCGGCGGCGGCCGGGAGCTGACAGCCGCCCGAGGGGCTCGCGGCCCGGGGGCGGGCGGCCGGCGGGAGGCGGGCTGGAGGTGAGGGGGTGGAGAGGCGGCGAGCGGGGCGCCGCCGAGCGCGTCTCTCCCCGCCGGAGGAGGGTCTCCACCGAAACATCTTCGGGGACCGTGGCACAAGTCTTGGCCAAGTTGTGTCTTGGACGTTGAAGCTCCCAGGAGCCCGGAGCAACTTGGAGGGGCTCCTGGCTCTTAACAATATTGCTACACGTCTCGACTTTGGGGTGCGGGGTGCAGCCTTGGGGTGCGCGGAGGGCGGACCGACCATTTGGGAGAGCGGAGCGGCGGGAACCGAGGGTCCTCGGCGCGGTAAGTGGCCCCGGCGCTGCGTTTTTCCTGCCTCCTGTAGCAATGAGGAGCTTGTTTCACTTTATCCCGATCGCCCCCGCCGGACCCCACCGCCCCTCCGGCGCGCGCCCCCGGCCCCTGCCCGGGCTCCCGCGGGTGAGGGTCGGAGGGGGCGGGGAGGGGGGAGACCTCGGGAGGGGGTCGGGCGCGTTGGGAAACGCGGGGAATACCCTGGCCGAGGCTCTATGCAGATGAGGGGAGGCTGCTTTGCGTAATGTCCTGGGGGGAGGGGGCGCGCGGGAGCGCCGGCGGCAGGAATGTGCTGGGTGCTAATGAGGGACGTGCACCGGCGCGCACCGCCCGGCCACCGCTGCGGCTGCCGCGGCCGCCGTCGTCAGGTAGCGGGGGAGGGGGCCGCGCCGCGCGGGTCGGGGGCGGCGGCGGCGGCGGCGGGAGGGCGGCGCGAGGGCCGGGCCGCCGGCCTGCGGCCGAGCGAGCGCAGCGGAGGCGCTGGCTGTCGGCATTTCGGGGGCTCTTTCTCCTGCCGAGCGAGGAAGGAAGGAAGGAAGGAAGAAGGAAGGAAGGAAGGAAGGAAGCGAGGACGGAGGGGCTGTCTCGATGGAAGGTTCAGGCGGAGGCGCCCTCGCCTTGCGGGTGCAGCGGCCGCAGAGCGGCTCCCGGCGCCGCGGGCCGGCCGGGGGCGCGCGGAGACGGGTGGGGGCGGTTTGCATGCGTGTTCGTCTGTGCGTCTGCCCGGGCACCGGGAAGGGACATGTGTGTTTGGGCTGTGCACTGTGGGGAGCTGGGTCTGCGCCTTTATGTCTGTTCCCTGAAGTGGGTGGAACGTTGGCCCGTTCCGGGAATGTTCCATGACGTGGTGCAGCCACAGGAAGGGGGTTAACAAGGGGCTCTGTGCCGCGGCGGCTCCGCCGGCTGCTATCAAAGCAGATGTGCGGCTGCCGCTGCTCCTCCTCTCTCACCTCCCTCCACGCCTCCCCCCCTTTTCATTCTGTGCGTCTGGTGCTGGTAGGGGTGAGACAGGAAAACACGGCTGTATGTGTGTGTGTGTGTGTGTGTGTGTCGGGGGGTGGGGGGCTGATGTGTGTGGTGTCTGTCGTATTCGGTGGGGAGACTCCGGATCGGCTCTGCCACCCCAGCTGTTATCACAGATCGGTGCGCTTTATACGCATGTGCCTCCCGCGTTCTGTCCCTCTTACATAACACATCCAGTGCAGCAGAGGACACGGGAAAAGGCGACCCCAGCCCTCCCAGCCCAAACTGGGTGAGGGGATAGAAGGTCAGGAAGCGTCCCTTGGTGGTGTCCTTCAGGGACGTGGCTCCCAGTGGGGTGAAAGAGGAGGGGAAGGAGGGTTTTCTTCAAGTGGCTCCTCTCCTCTCTGACTTGAAAGCCTGTAACTCAAAAGGACTGCAGGAAGGAGTCCTCTAATGGGAAAGCTTTTACAGCTGCGCCGAGGGAAGTGGGCGCTTCAGCCTCGGGGCGCGGAGAAGAGAGAGGGTCCTTAATCAAGGCGCTTGGAGCAGACGGGCCATGTGTGCTGGGTGGCCGGCAGTGGGGATGGCTCTGAGGGCGACGGAGGAATCCCCTGATAATAGGTTTCACGGGAGGCCTTGGGACACCTGTAATGGCTTAGAATTCACACAGGAAGCTGCGTGTGCAACTGACAGTACAAAAGCCTTATTCTCTGCACAGTTGCTTAGGCCTGAAACGAACCTCAGAAGGCTTGTTTCCGGTACTTTCATTATAATGGAAAATTTGAACTGATTTTTCTCCTTCCCGTTTTGCCATTTTAAAAATAACTCAGTTTACCTCCAAATGAATATTGGTCCTCTCCCCCACTCCCAAAGGCTAGACCTCATAATTCTCACAAGAGAACTGCATTTTTCTAGCAGGCTCAGAGCTCTAGTCAAGGGCTATTGATTTTTCTCTCAGTACAGTTGTTTCTTTTGTAATGCATAGTCAAGCCCAGAAATTACTTGAAATATTAATAAGATCTATTTTAATTAAATTTGCAATGATCTGTCCTCCTAGAAGAAGACCATTTAACTTTATTAGAAACATTTCCTCCAGCGATATAGTAATATTTGGTGATAGTTGTCCTTGAGCAAACCAAAGTATTTTCAATATTTGCATATATATTATATGTAATAGATAGTATATATTACATATATATTAGAATCTGCAAATGTCTTGTGCTTTTTCACCTTATAAGTGTGTCAGAGCAAAATTTTAACCAAGTAGTTTGTGTAATGAGTAGATTGGGTTTGATTTTTAGGATATAGGCCAGATAGTTTATCAAGACAGTAATGCCCTCCATGTGAGTAAAATGGATATCATTTTCATTCTTAAGGCAAAATTCCTGTGGAACGCTAAGAAGTCATGGTACCAGATGAGAACTCTGATTTTTTATTTTGAGGTGAAAGGGATTTACCAACATCCACTTAATGATAGTGTGCTTCAAGTGTCATAATCCCCTTTGACCACTAGGTTTGAAATATGCAGTATACTTCTTGTATACAGAAAAATGTTATATTGCAATGGTGGATCTTTTGAAAATTGTGTGTTTTTTCTTTGAACATAGCTCAGGTATAAAAGAAAATTTGCTTGTTGGCATCTATGTATTCTGCTATGGTGATTGTGTTTATGTGGCCGGCTTCATTAGAGACTGCTTATGTTTATGTGAGGCATTTACAGTGACGTTGATGTGAAATTGATTTGGGGACAATTTTGGGAATGGTAGAGTATTAATGATATTACAAATTTAAAATTTAACTGTTTTTTAACTGACTAGATCCTTGTGGAGTTCTTTGGAAAAATAAGATCAAAGTAGAGAAAACATTTCTATAATTCTGTAAACGTGGAATGTGAAAATTCATTTACTCTGTGTATATTATCACATAATGAAATTATGCTAATTGACTACATGGAAAGATTAGCCAGCAGAATCTTTTGATTGATCATTTTACATGAGATGTGTTTGTAAATGTTCTTGTTACTATGAAAACAAAACAGACAACATGTATGCAGGCGTTTATTCATTGTGGAATAATGGTACGTGTGTCTGCTTGAGCTCCTGGCACCTTGTCACTATTCAGAAAACCAGGTTGAATCTTTTATGCTGATTCAAATTAAAATGAAGTATCTTCATTTAAGAATTTGCCTGCTTTGTTTTTTACAGCAGGGCTTATTTCAACAGCAACAGATAACAAGTACTCTTACTTGTGTTGGTTTTAGATTTTTGGCTCATCAGTAATTAACTGAAGTTAATCTGAAAGCGTCAACGTAGGAAAAGCAGTTTTAAAGACCTGTAGAAAATAGGTATGGGTGAAAAGCAGAATCCATGAGAATGTGGAGTAATTTAACATCTGATGTGGTACCTTTTATAGTAAGGGAGAAGAGGCTACGATCAACTGAATGGATGGTCGTGGATCAGACTGGCCACTAATCACCTAAGTCTGTTACAAATCAATCCTGCTTCCACATTTTGGTTCCTAGTTAGCATCGACAGAACTCTGTCTTGGTCTATGCAGTAGTCCTGTAGGTGGAGAAATGGTTCACAGTTTAAATCTCTGCTTGGAAATTCCACTGATATGCTTTTAGCTAATGAATCTAGATATGAATTCCTGTGAATCCATATTTTGGCTAAAACTTGGTATGTAAGTGTTGCAGCTTTTTAAAGTGATATCATAAA